ATATATATATTCTTAAATAGTTACTCAGGGTTCACGTTGTAATGATTGGATCAGTTTGTGCTTAACAGAAAAAAAATTGACTATATAACAAAATGTGTATTACTTTTTCCCACAAATGCCAAAACTCAATTAGTGTGCACTCCACTCGAATAAATAAAGGCCACACAAAAATAAATAAATAAAAGAAGACCCCTCAGGAGAAAAATAACAGGCAGTAACACCTAAAGTGCCTCGTGGATTTGACCTCACGACCACAATATGTCGGGGTGGAAGTTGTGACCGCAAAACGCACTGCCTGCAAAGTGGACAAGGAATCCGTAAAGCCGATGTTTGCACTCGAGTTTAAGTATGAAGGTGTGCCGCTTTTTCACATTCACACACGGGAGTCAACAGGAGGCAAAAAAAATCCCCCAAAAAAACCCAACAAACCTTAAAAAACTTTACCGGTACTTGACATCCATTGTCATTGAACTCTGCTTTAGTTCATGTTTAGAAAATAAATACCAGACCACCTCTGTATTGTTAAAAGACCAAAATAGAATCAGAGCAGCCAACAAGAACGCCCGCCCTCTGCTTTCCTCATCTTGATGCCACCCCGTGTCGTCCCCGCGCCGACCCCTGTTGCTTCCACTTATGTGAAGGTGAGCCTGAAGGTCACCCTACCCTGACAGTTCCTAATGGCCTCGCTTTGGGCACCTCCTCCTCCGCACCCCCAGGATCAATCGCTGGCCTATTAGAAGCGTGCCGGCGTTGAATATGATTGCATTCACTCGGCTCAACTGGCACTAATGTGCCGCCATCAATCCATCAGGGCGGGCTGACCAAAGGACGGGCGGTTATGAAGTGCCTAGGCTGACAGCCGCTGAATGAGGATACCCTTCTTCGCCCTCTTCCTCCTCCTCTTTACCACTCCTAATACGCTGGGCTCATCTTTTCACCTCTAGCCAATTTCTTCACCGGCTCCATACTATAAATGCTTGTGTGGTTTGCTGCAGAATCTGGCTTCTCCATTTTCTCCTAACTACTTAAAAAAAATAAATAAATTATCGCGTTACACTTTTTTTTTACCTGCACTGCTGTTTGAGTTCAACTCTAGTGACCC